GTTTGTAAAAGAGTCTATTGTGATTATGTATCTTTAAGAGGAAACATTAATTCACATATTTGTTTTTTATGATCTTTCACTTGTACCTCAGAAATATTTTAGTTTAAAGGCGTTAAGTCACACTTAAATGGGGAGATAGAGCCCTAGAGATCCTAAAGCATGTACCCAAATGAATTCACAATTCCACAATTTTCTTCCTCTTCTTCAGCTGATAGGCAGTTTAAGACTCTCAATGCTAGAGTATTCCCCTGTCTCATCTCTGCTTGCTAACTGGAGCACTGAAAATTCTGACTCTCATGGGCCTCTCTGAGGCTGTTTTCTCTCTTGTAAAACACAAGAGCTGGGCTAGATGACCTGCCTCCCTCAGGCCATCTCTAGGACTTCACCTCTTTGCTTTGGGGTTTGGTGCACACTACACAGCCAGGACACATCAGCCTAGGTCATTCGGTCGTTTAAGAAAAATAAAATAAAATGGGTGATACACCTGTTCTGTCTACAGCATCATCATTTTACTGTCTCTGTTCAGGAATTCTGAATTTCCCAGGTCTGCACCTGTTTATCTAGTGTTAGGATTTGATAACTACATTTGATAACTACAGCTGCTGCTGCTAGTGATGGAAGATCTCAGCAGTCAACAGTGGATTTTCTCTTGGCAAATAGATCTGCAGTTTCCCAAAAGAGGGGGAAAGGCAACTTTCTACAAGGCAAATGTTTTTCAAACAGATGTGACTACAAGAAGGGCACCAAGTTATTAGAACTGTTACAAAATTTTTGAAAAAGGACAGACTGTTTTTGTGGTTTTGTGGAAAAAGTGGTTAGCAGAGGGAGAGGTAGGAAAAAGAGCAAGAACAAAACTGCTCAACTCCAAGGCACCTTTGCCAAGTGTTACAGGGCTAAACACATACACTGTTCACACTCTCTAGTCCAAAGTCTTCCAGTGAATAACTTTAGAAAAAGACACTGTCGGGCCCTCCCTGGTGGTGCAGCAGGTTAAAGCACAGCACTAAGAAGCTAAAGCCACTTCAGCATGAGTTGGGTCCCCACCCCAGAGGTGACCACATGGCATGGCAGACCTCTCCTGACCCACCTGCTGCTCCCCCCTCAGCAGTGTAATTCTCAGTCAGCCTGTTCGGCTCCCCACTGTGTCTCTGGTGAATCCTCTCACCACGCTGGTGCCTCTGGACTGTATGCCAGTTCTGTCTGCATAAATAAATCTTTAAGAAAAAAAAAAAAAGGACCCTGTCTCAGGGTCATTTTACTACCACTATCTAAAAATATGAGGTAAATGAGGTCCCTATAAGAGAGATTGCCTCATGGTCTCCCTGGTGGTATAAGGGGTTAAGTCCCTGTGTGCTCAAACTATCACCAGTCACTGAGGCCTGAGTTCAATACCCTGCCAGGGAGCTGACCCACATGGTCCAGCAGAGCTCTCCTGTCTTTCTGCTGTTCCCCTCAGCAGTGTATCTCAGTAGATCAACCTGTTCTACCCCCCCACTCTGTTTCTGGTGAATCCTCTCACTCTCTCCCCTCTCCCCATCCCCCATACCTCTGGCCTACACCCCAGTTCTTATATGCATAAATAAACCTTTCCAAAAAAAATACTGCTTCAAAATTCTCTGCAACACCAATATGTTTCAACAACTTTCACAGCAGTTTCCCAAGAGAAAAAACCACAGCTGGCTGCTGAGATCTTCAACCACTCGGAGCAGCTATTTACAAAACAGACCTCCAAATCCTGACACTAGGTACAGAAACAGGTGCAAACCAGGAAAATGGTGGGAAGTACTGAAGAGTGTTAGTTGCCCCTCAATAATATTTCTGTGGAGTTTTGTTTGTTTGTTTTACAGTAGGTAACATAGCCATGTAGAATAGAGGCTACATTTTCCAGGCCATTTCAAGATCAGGATTCTGTCCCTGCTCAGTGGGGTACAATCAGTAGTTACTAGCAAATATTTCATAGTCACTTCTCTTTGGGTGCTAGAGAAAGCCCTGGCTTGTAACATTTCCCAGTTTCCACAATACAGTACTCCATGTATGAATGCATGGCTCATTTCAAGCTTCCAGCTTGGTGACACTGAACATGGAATGGAAAGAAACGGAGCTTTCATAAGTTGGTACCAGCTGGCTCCATGTAATGCTCTAGCACATTGCTGGATGCAAGGGGGTATTAGATGTGATCTCAGAGGAGGCAGGGTGGGATTTGCCCGGTCCTTCCCCTTCCTCGTCTCTGTTGGCAAGAATGTAGATCCAGTCCTCACACTGGAGCATGAGGAGGCGGCTGTGTGTTGAGGAGCGATAGAATCACAATAGAGAAGCCACAGCACTCCTCAGAGCATGCTGGGATGTTTACCTGCAGGCTGCACTTACATGGCAGTGTGAAAAGAGGAAAGTTTCCGTCTCATAAATGCAACTGGTATTTTGACGGTTCCCACTTGCAACCTCAGGGCAAGTCAGGGCATGCTTAGTAGCATGAACAAAACTAGTACTTAGATCTAAGAGAACCAACTGAAGCAACAAAAAGCGCTATCTTTCTGGAAGTGACAGAATCAAGAGAGAATGGGAAGTAGGGACAAGATCTGTGTTCCGCTGCTATACCCCAAAACATGCACGCATCTTCTAGAGCACAGGTTAGGAAAGAATAAGCCTAGAGTGAGGCTGGAAGCTGAATGAATGTTGTTGAGAGAACAGCCAAAGGAGGAAGGGACTAGAAAGGGCTGATCTCACCACTCTCCACCTGGCTGCCCCCTCTCTGACCTACAGACCCATGGGCAAGCACACCTGTGTTAACAAAGCCTCCTCCTCACACATGTGGGGCCAGCTCCCAAATCCATAGTCCAGGGACACAGGGTGGACTCTTACACTGACTGACAGAAAATCCTCTACCTGAGAGAAAAGGCTTTTCTCAGGTGTCTATCTTCTAGAGGGCTTTTCTCAGGCCAAAAAGAGAATGGGGAGTGTGGGGGCCATATGACATCACCTGCGGGGAAACTGAGATGGAGACATTTGGGCTTCCTTTCTGGAGCTTACTTATAATGTATTTGCTCAGGATTCAATGGCCTATATTTGTTGTGTGTTGTACAGTGAGATGCAGACAAATGTAGAATGGCTTACTTTAAACATAAGTAACATTGGTAATTAATTACAAGTGAACCCCTCCCAAAGGTTAATATGCAAGAGACAGAATTTTATTTACAGAAAATAATTATGTCATAGCTATGTTCTTACCTATTTTCAAATACTTTCGTTGTCTCAAGGAAAGAACATGTTAAATAAGCAGTTCAGCAATGCTGACTGGGCATCTGTTGCTGTTGCTGCACTTAGGCACAGCTGTGCTCACGCTGTGGGGGTCCTACCAGGCGAATTTCCAATCACTCTATCCAAAGAGTCACAAACCACACATTTCATCCACTCAGTTTCTTGGCAACTTAGACCCAGATTTTTGTGCGATCAGCATGACTTTCAATCCATCTTCCCCCACCTGCCTTCAGCACAGGGGATAAGAACCCAACGTGGTGGGATAATGAAAGTGGGGGACACACTCAAAAAGACAAAGTGGGAAAGGTACAAACAACAAGACCAAGATGGCAAGGGGACAGGTGAGAGTCTGGCCGACACACACACACCTGAGAGAGATGGGGTTCTGGAAGCCCTTAAATAGGATAATTCAGCTCTGTGACAAAAACCAGACAAGAGCAAAACTTCTAGCCACATACGCTCAAGAGTCTGGACAGAAGCTCACATTTGCAAGGCCAAGAATCTTGATAAATATTTGCTGCCAATATTAAAGATATAACAATTACCACTCTCCAGACATTGCAGGTGGTTAAGACATCCAGGCCTGCAGGTAGAACTACCTATGGTCCCACCTGGCTCTCGCACCAGCTGGTTATTTGCCTAGTCTCAGTCTCTCCATTTAAAAAATGAGTATCAAGCATATTGCATAGGTGATTGTTAAAATTTAAAGAGAACTGACAAACCACACATCCAAGCGATCCACATAACATTCTACAAGTATAAACTTTAGGTTAGAAAATAACATATGAAAAAAGAGAGAAAAGGATGTCGTTGATATCTGATCAAGATTGAAATGAGCATGCTCAACGGCCTACTTTTAAAACAAGTACAAATTGAAATGAGCTGACAAGCATTATATAACCCATGCTTCAACAATCCAGGCCTCCAGTAGAGAAAAATAAAATAAGATAAACTCAGTTGAAAACCTAGCACTGCTCCTCCAGTTCTGCTAAGTTCTCTCCATACCCACAGCTCTGTCCGCTACTTCATTCTGTCAAGCATCTCTGTTCTCTTGGGAAAATTCTGCCACTTTTTAATAATGGAGGCCTGACATCTGCAAACTACTTTTTTCATACCATTGGGACTCTGGTCAAATTCTAAATTGTATCTGAAGTTTTGTAAGATAGTGAGTTTTGTGAGATAAATCTGCCCCTGTGAAATACATCTACTGCTAAAAAGTCTAATTTTTGCCCATTCAATTCCTGGTGATTAACCTGACACCAATATTTTCTCAAAACGAAGTTATCTGCTGTAGTCAAAAAATATATATGTAAGCATTCTGTTTGCTTCCTCCAAATAGAACTCTGAATAAGAAGAAGAGAGCTGTATCTGAAATCCAATACTCATATGGAAAAGAAAGGATCCTCATCAGACCCACAGGGGAGCATATGGGCAGTGTCCACAGAGGGAGCTTGTGAGCTGGTTAACAAGGAACGTGGACAAGCTCTTCAATGCAGCTTAGTAAAGATGAAACCAGCATCACTCAGAGATTGACTACAAACTTTGAAGCCAGTAACTTATGCAGCTTGTCAATTTTGTAGCTTACTTCCAGTATTATAAATGCCAGCAGTTTAAGGGATGCACAAGTGTTGTGGGATGCACAAGTGTTGTGGAATTCTCCTAAGTAGACACATTTTACATCTCTTGCAGTGACATATTGAACCACTTTAAATAGTAAGTCAAATAGAAACAAAAAATAAACTCACTTATCAAATTCATCAAAGAGATCACAACTCTGCAGTTTTGAAAGAGCGAGCCGAAAATACTCCGCTAGAAAACAAATGAACTGTTATTAATAAGAAGAAACACAACTGGCCCCTCCCTGGTGGTGCAATGGGTTAAAGTGCAGCACTATGAAGCTACCACACCCACTGCAGCATGAGTTCAATCCCCAGTGGGGAGCTGACCCACATGGCGCAGCAGACCTCTCCCGACCCACCCACTGCTCCTCCCGCAGTGTACTTTGTCAATCTGCCTGTTCTGCTTCCCACTCTGTCTCTGGTGAAGCCTCTCACCTCTGGCCTATACCCCAGTTCTGTATGAATAAATAAGTAAATCTGAAAAAAAGAACCACATCTTCTTAGGTTTATGGTGGCAAGTCAATTTGTCCCTTCACCTCCCCAAATTCATTTCCAACTGGTATAGCCACATTTTATCTATTCTATAGTATTGAAATTAGCCAGCATAAATAAGCACATTCAAAATAATAAATGCTCTAAGGATGCTTTCTTAAAAGAGAGAAGCCTAACATGTGTCATCTAAAAGTAGTCATAAAAAGTAACCCCAAAATTAGCAGTAGCAGATGATTTGGAAATTGACATTAGTATAAAAGTCAGCAAATTATACCTATTATATTCTCAAATTCTCTGCAATATAGTTTTAAATGTTATTCCTGACACACACACACACACACACACACACACACACACACACAGGTGTGCGGGCAGGATCAACTAAATAAACAATATCTGACTCAGAAAACTATTAAGCCTGTTGCCTCTTGGGCACTGAGAAGCTCTCAAAAATCTAGAACATAAAGTTGTACAAAACCAACAATTGTCAAAGAGCAGAGGGAAAGCATTTTATCATTTGCAGATAGAGTGATATCCCATAAATTTAGCAAAATTAAAATAAGATTGTTCAAAGAGCTAGAATTTTCTGATAAAATAATCTCACAGGTAAAGGGTAAAAGGGGCACAGGCAGGAAGTTAACCCACAGGGCTATCCTACTAATTCTAAATCAGAATAAATAAAGCATAAGAATCCATGTGAATAATAAGGCATCAGAACAAAAACAAAAAGCTACTTGTCCACAACAAAATCTGCCTTTTCTATATTTTTAGTCTACTTTGCCTCCAAACAAGTAAGGTTTTATATTTTAAAATTTAATTCCCTTCATCCCATCCCCAAATCATATTCTTTAGGAATCACTTTGAAGCAGTTAAAAGGTCCCAAAATCTTATCAATATGTGATTTCATTTAAAAGAAATACATAAATTTGATAAAACAGGGTAAGATGATCTACTGACCTGAATTTTTTATCCCATAGGGCAAATCAAACTTATCACTACCATACAAGGAAGCAACTTTTTTAAAATCAGCTCCACACAGGAAAGGGTGAAACTGCTGAAACCTGGAAGATAAAAAAATTTTCTCAAACCCTTTCAATATTTGCAGATGTCTAAGAACACAACTAACAGTTTCTGTAGTATATCATTCATATTGTTACACTAACTATCAATGTATAGTTATTTTCAAAATTATTTAAAAGTCATCTGAAACAGTATTTCAGTATTCATAAGAAGGGAGAGGTAGTGAGGGAGACTATACATCTGTAGCAGAAACCAAGAAACTGAAAACAAAATTATGTTACAGTCAGGACCAGAGGTGACATATGGAGGCGTGGGGTATGACAATGAAGTTTTTAAAAACTTACCAATACCAATAAAATGATAGCCACATGCAGAAAGAAACAAAGGAATAAGGGGAAATAAAAGTATTGATGCTAAGCCACTCCAAAATGAAAAGCCATCCTATATGCCAGTTATGTCAGTTATGAAAGTAAAAATAAAAAGTTAGATGATGCTAGAAAAGATGTCATTAAGATTAACTCAAGAACAAAACTGTGGCATTTTCTCCACATTGCCTGTTCTGTCTTGAAGATACTCTCTCCTACCCCACTCAGGTCCTCACTTACATGAGAAAGTTTGATGAGGATGGGATCTACTTCTGATTTTTAATTGTTATTATCACCCGGCACAGAGGTCATAAATTGAGTTTCAACCTCAAATTAATTCTTTCTTGAACAATTAAGAAGCAGGAGGGGAGAAAATGTCTTCTTAATTTAAGTTCTTAATGCTGATATTAAAATAGTATTTTCACCTACAAGGACTGGATGTTGCATCCAGTCCTGCTAATCCTTCTCTAACCCCTCAGAGTCCCCGTTGCCAGCCTTTCTTAGTCCAAAATTCTACAAGCAGAGTGCCTCTGGGGTTTCACATTGCAGTGGTGTAGGGAAGAAGAAGCAAAACAAATTCAGTTTGATACTGGCTTTGCCACTCATTAGCCACTAATCGTGAGTAAATCACTTCACTGGAGCTAAGACCTCACATCAGTCATATTCAGACCAAGGAAACAGGAGGAGACCAGCCTTTCCTGCTGAAGATATGATGCATAATCCAGATTTAGTGGTGACAATGACAAGCCACGGGGTTCCATCAGCATTCAAAGATCTTGTTCTGAGTTGATCCCCAAGTTCAGGATCCGCTATAGGAAGAAGCAGTGTCAAAGCAACTGACTTAAGTCTGAGAGGTGACTCGGGATCTTCCTGGTCTTCTTGGGAGGGTGAACCTGAGGACTTTGTGCACCCCAAGGACAAGGTGATACAGATTCTGCTCTTTGAAATTGGTGAGGATGGTGAAGGTAAAAAAGGATTCATTTTTTTATTTTTTTCATTCAGACCTAAGTCATGAAGGTGACTTACATTTTATTTCTACATGAAATAATTATTCAGCACTGTGTCCCACACATAGTAGGAACTCACTATCACTCTTAGCTGTAATAATTATACATTACACTATACTAGTTTATCCCATTATATTGTACCATATTACATTATAATGTGCCACATTATTTCTACTGTTGTCACTCCTACAACAGACTGGAGAGGAAGGTAAAGTTGATTAATCAACTTAGATGAAGAAACTGAAGCAATGACAAGTGAAACAGGTGCAGAGTATCATCTGGGGTCACCAATGCACATTTGACAAAGCTGAATCCCACACCCACATTTAATTCCCAGGAAAGGCTTCCTCCTTTCAGCACTGCAGATAACACCTGCAAGCTTCCCGGCAGAGGTTCCTCCGATTTCTAGGAGGGAGAAAAAAGCACAGCCCCCAGAGAATACTATCCAGAGTGGACAAATGCGAACCTGTCACTTAAACTGTAGACTTACACACCTGGTGGGCAATCTTGAATAAGTAACCCCTTTTGAGCTTTCTCAGAAATAAAATACCTTTTTTCTCAAAAGATGAAGAGAACCTCGATTCTAGAGAAGCATTTTTAACCCTGCAGTTCATAACCTGTAGGTAGTTCATGAAATCAATTTTGTGAGTCATAATCAGCAATTTTTTAAAATGCATAGGCAAAAGAGGGGGGTATCCAGATTAGGAAGAGTAAAACTTCTTTAATTTATAAATCACAAGTATTAGTAGTTACCAAAGTAAAATGCATTCCTTACTATGAGTCATGATCAAAAGTTTAAAAACATTGTTCTAGTTTTTGCAGTGGCCACACCCCCAAAGGTGGACTAGGTGGACTGTGAACAGCATGGCACATTTGTGCCATGGCACATGCAGGAAGGTTTAATGTATCCACAGTTTTCCAGAGAATTGGTTGATTTTAAAGGGCTCTGTAGTCCCAAAGGTGTAGTAATATAAAAAATTTAAAAATTAGTATTATTTATTCTTAGTGAATAAAGTGCTAAAAAATTTATCTTGCACATTTAATTCAGTTCAAGCCAGATAATCACTTATTTTTAGTTATTTAGAAATATCTGACAAGCACGCTGTCAAAATGTAAGTCACAGAAGAAAAGTATGTGTAGATGGAAGAGTATGTTCCCTACATGCCTTGACAACTATGATAAACTTTATTTGCATTCTCTGTGATGAGCCATTATTTGTATGTGTTACAGTTCACTAAAAATCAGTTCAAGTTTCTAGCCACAAAGAACCTGGAGAGAGACAAGAAAGAAGTCACAAACTGACAAGAGTGGAAAAAACATGCGAACCAGAAGGAGGAAAAATTAAACCCTGAAGAACAGTTCACTTTTTTATGATCAAAACAAACAGACCTCTCTAATCTCACCTGTGTGAAAAAGAACACTGGCCTGATTGAGTTCTTCAATGCCTTTTCTTAAAATATGTGCAGAGCTCTGACTAAAAGCACAAAAAGTGACAGGATATTCAAGCTCCTCCTTAAATATAGGTTGTCTACTTTATATACCAAGATTTGTATGAAAAAAAGTAAACAAGTGTGGGAAATTATTACCAACACATTTTGTATGTCACAGTTTCTCTTATATTTTTACCTCAGGAGAGAAGCAAAAGCTGGCTTTGATAAACAAGGCTGGATCTGATTTCTCCGCTTCATTTCCACAGGTGGCACCCTGTGAGATAAAAATAGTGTCAGTCAGAAACCAGAACTGGGCAGTCAGCCCAAAGGGAAGCGAATGCTCTGGGAACCCAGTTGGTTCCACCAGAGCGACTTCTCTGGCAGGGAATAAAATATCATCCCTTGAGGTATGAATGTGCCTTCTCCAAATACTGCTCCCACTGAGGGTTCATGAGTACAAAGCAAGAGTGGAAAAAGCCCAGGAGATGAGAAGCCCAGAAGTGGTTCCAACAACAGTGAATCAAAGGACGCTCTGAGGAGGGCTAGAATTACGCACCATGGAAGTCAACACCAGGCTCCTTTTATAAAGTCCCTGAAAACCTCAGAAACCTAGGTCCTTCAAGCCACATCAGGGCACATTAACTGGCAGCAAACACCAAGCTATAGGTTTCCACAGACCCTGCCTTGTGACCTGGACACTCCAGAAATCATCCTGTTTAGAGTGGCATCTAGCTCTGTTCTTGGCTCAGGCCAGGCCCTTGTGTGTCTCCTGAATGGAGCACTTGTCTCCATGATTTAAAAGGGTATTGTAAAAAGACAGAGCATAACAAAACGAAATGTAGGGGGCAGAGGTGGTAGGATCCAAACCCAGCAAAAAAGAAAACAACTTAGTGGAGATTATTACATTATAGAAATATATGTGATTTATGTAATCTTAATATATGTATGATTATATTAATGATGACAAATTATGTAAAGAATTCATCCAAAATCCAAGATGTAAACTATCAACTACAAGTCACAGGATGCAAATGAAAAGAAAATGGACTAAACTCTTTATGGACAGAATTAATCTCAATCATTTTTGGTATCAAATCTTCAAAGTTAGAGCTGTTAGGTTTCTGAACATATGCAGGACAACATGTTTTGTGGATACCACAAATGGCAAGAATCCCTTAATCTTTATGTAAGGGAGATACATAGTTTAACAGTTAAACAGTTAAATAAACAAATTTATTCAGAAGGAAATGAAGTACAAGCTAGCACTTGATTTCTAAAATTACTGAAACATAACAAACAAAACAGTTTTAGGACACTGAAAACAAACTTTTAAGTGGCTTTTCTCTCCAAGATGATTTTCTGTCTTAAATAGTTTTTAAGGCATAAAAAACACCCATCTAATTTACCAGTACTTTTTATGACTGGAGCAGCATGTCGGCGTAGGCGTGTCATAAACACTCCAAATCCTGATGACAAAAGACTGCTGAATTCAGATCCTTTTCATTATCTGCTTTATCATTTCCATGTGCTCAACAATAGGATTTGTAGAGAATTAGCAATCTGGTAAGACTGTCTTCTGTTCTATTTTTTCGTTAAGTGTGGGACAAAGACACAATATGGAAGACAGGAGATCCCTGTGGTATAATTCTTATGTGGTATGTTATCATCCTGTACATTTCTTTAGTTCAGTATTTAATTTCAAACTCTAAAATCTTAAGAGTCAGGCCTTCCCATTATCACTGTTTTTTCTTCCTAGGGACTATCTGCTTAACTCTCTTCCATGAAGAACATATAATCATGTTTCAATCAGTGATGAAATTAAATGCAGAAGCATTAATTTACATTTTATGTACTAAGCACAAACCAGAAACAGGCTCTAGGCTCTAATACTAAAACACTGACAAAAAATAAAAACAAAAATCTGAATTTGGAAGTTGTTATTTTCATATGGGTATATATCGCCACCCACCAGGACTTAAATTCAATGAAAATTATTCTGAGTCAAAAGATTGACAATGATGAACAACGTAAAAGAACAACTACAGATTTTCTCTGCAATAAAACTACCTGAGCCTCTGTATAGTTTGAGATGTAATACTGCAAATCAACATTGTTTCAAAATACTCATATATCATCATTCACCAAACATTTTTAAACAATGAAACCATATGTAGTATCTAGATTTCATCAACAATTTCTCTTTTTAATTGAATATATATATTTTACATTGTCCTTCCCTTTTGTACAAGGCATGTTTTCTCCTTTCAGGTGCAGGTCCACAAAATTCCCATCACCAATTCACCATAAACATAATCCCCTGTGTAAGAACATAGTCACCTCCTCCCCCCCACCCCCCACACACACACATTTTGCTCTCTCTCTTCTCCTCCCCTGCAGAGTGTTTCAGATTAATAGTTGGACAGCTAACTTTTTGAATAATCTCTTATCAAAGCACTTTAGGTGCTAAAAGTCAAGTACCAGAGTTCAAAAATGTTACAGGGTTTTTCCCACAGTTTTTTGTAGTATCATTTGCGTATCTGTGTCAAAGAACAATTTGGGTGTTACTTTTGAAAATTAAGAAAGAAACTTACACGCCCTCCCTGGTGGCGCAGCGGGATAAAGCGCAGCACTAAAAAGCTAAAGCCACTTCCGCATGAGTTCGATTCCCGCCAGCCCCGGAGGTGACCACATGGCGTGGCAGACCTCTCCTGACCCGCCGCTGCTCCCCTCAGCAGTGTACTTCGTTGATGTGCCTGTTCTGCTCCCGACTCTGTCTCTGGTGAAGCCTCTCACTGCCCTGAGCCTCTGACCTGTACCCCAGTTCTGTATGCACAAATAAATAAATCTTAAAAAAAAAAAAAAGAAACTTACCAATAGACGTTTGTTCCCCATAATATACAATGTAGCACATAGTAGAGGAAGCCAGCACTTAAGATAATGGCCACAAGGTATGCTCTCATGGCTGGCCCACCTGAAACACAGAGACAGAATATAGAAAAAGCAGGGTGGTTATAAAGATGGATGTACACAATGGCTCAGTTATAGACCCTAAAGAAGAAACAGGATAGTCAACAGAAAGGACACACTGCTGTTTTGGAAATAGGCACTTATTGTGCAGAACAGTGATGTTTTCTCGACTTTCCTCACCCTCCTACCTATGATCAACACAATGTGATTCATGGGTAGACCAATAATCAGTACCACATTTTCAAAGCTAGTGGTTTCTGTACTACTTTCTTGTGTAAGAGAGGAAAGAGTATTCAAAAGAAAATTTTACACATTTACTCCCTCTGTGCTGCTCTATCCAGAAACATTAAAAAATATGCTTTCTTTCACAACAGGATGTGAATATATGCCTAAGATCTAAATGAACATTTCTTTAGTGCCCTATAACTTCCAGATGCTATTACAAATTTTAGGAATTATTTTTCTAATTTTAAGAATCTGAGAAAAGGGCCCTGCCTGGTGGCTCAATTGGTTAAAGCACAGCACTACTTGCTAGTCAAAGCAGCTTCAACACCAATTTGATCCCTGGCCAGGGATGTGACCCACATGGCGCAGCAGACCTCTCCTGACCCGCCCACTGCTTCCCTCAGCTGTATACTTCACCAGTTTGCCTGTTCTGCTCCCCACTCTGTCTCTGGTGAATCCTCTCACCACCCCTGCTCCTCTGGCCTGTACCCCAGTTGTGTATGCATAAATAAATCTTTTTAAAAAAAAGTGAGAAAAAAACTAAAATAATGCCCATTTTCTCAATTCTTATACAGATTAAGATGCACCTACTTGATGTTTCAATTTTATAACCAGGTAATTTATTTAATTACCTATTTGCTTTTCTATAAAATGAATAGACACAATACTTCACAGAATAAAATGCAAAAGGGAAAAATAAAACCTTTCTATAATATTTTTTTAAATCCTAAAACCTTTATTTAGTTCCCACTTTTGCTTCAAAGACAGAAATAGGTTCTCACATTCACATGAACTAAATGCAAATGACAAATTCAATATATTCTATGGCTCCAGAAGAGATTTGCTCACTGTGTGACTTAAGTAAGTATACTTGTTACATTTCTTGCAAGTTTAGTTTATTAAACAAGTGCACATTCCACTCCCTTCCAACTTTCTATATCTAGAACAACCTCAGTTAGGGAAGAAAAGACTAACCTCAGACTACACTAACCTCAGTTAGTGTAGAAAAGAAAATCTGGTTGTATCCATTTCCAAATAATCTAAGACCACCTCACAGTTAACAGCAAAGTTAGCTAATATAGAAATCTCAAAGCATGCCTTTGCCTTCATAAGTGGAATATACTAAACATAGTCAAAGTGTTTCTTGATGATGTGGGCTTCACCTTAACAAAAGTGATTGCTTTTGCTCTACTAGTGATGATCTGCTGGCCAAGCCATCCTAAACTAGCTGATTCCTGGTGAGGTCCTGGCATATTTCTTGTCTCACACACACACACACAGACAGACACACACACACATATACATACACAAGTTCCAAATTTCGAAAGTCCAAAAACACTTCTCACATTAAACAATGATTGGTATTCACTCATTAATTTTCCGACCTGCTTCTTCCAGTTCAGGGTGTTAAGTGAGCAGAACCTACCCTGGCAGCTCAGAGAGCAAGGTGGGAATCAGGCTGGACAGGATGCCCTTTCCTTGCAGGACAAGTTCATGCACACCCCCACTCAGACTGGGACAATTCAGACATACAAAAGAACCTACATGGGGCGTGGGGGCACTGGCTTATCCAGGGGAACAAACACAATCGGGAGAAGGAGCAAACTCCACACAGTGGCTCTCGGTGGAAACAATTTTTTCACATCAACATTATTACAAAACAACATTATTTGAGGATCTGCCACACACACAGTCACTGTGAAGAGTGACTGATAACACTGTCGGAAATCAGAAGGCATGATTCACAATCCACGTAATTGCTGGCTAGGGGAACATTAGGAAAATCTGTTTACCCTCTTTCTACCTAGTACCCTCTCATGTTTGCAAGAGAAGGGAAACAATTGCTTCTTAGACTCACCAAATGATGGGCATCTGGCATAGAACATAAAGTATAGGTTGAGGTTGAACAAGCGTCACTTACTTTCTAAATCTAAAGTTAACATTGATGATCTTTTGTTGACATAGTAAAGCACCTGTTTTAAGAAAGCCAGAGTGAGACTTGGTTGATCCACCCATTTGTAAAGTATGCTATCTTGAGGTAGCATAGGCTATTTTAAAAGATGTCAATTCTTCTTGGTAAAAAGGCAAGAAAGTAATTGATACTTAGTACAATATGTAAAATCCAAGTGGTGGAGGGAATTAAAGTTAGAGACTATCAGAGTAAACGTTTAAGACAGTGAGGTGTCTAGGATGCTAGGCTCATTACTGAAGTGGTTAAGTGAGGAATCAATGACAGATAAGGCCATTCAACACGGGTTAGCTGTCCTTCCTCCTCTGGAACTGGGTGAATTGAGAAGGGTCAAGGAAATGGGTTCTGAAAGGCAATCTCTCCTAGAGAAGTATTTCATAACCTCATGCACTGGCCAGAGGCCTGGAGCAGGTCTTCCTGAAGACCAAAGAGCCTATTGGTGGTGACAAGAAGCAGATGTAGACTTGGCTTGTCTCATCCCTTTGACTAAACTAACCAGCATAATGCTTTTTAATGCAGATATAACTCCACATGAATCCAGGATATGCACAGACTCCAAAAACCCCAATATAATCACGCATGTACCCTGTGGCATTGAAACATCACTGCAAGCCATTATTGCTGTACATGCTGATCTCAGACATCAGAAGTGCCCAGCAACTCTGGATGTTCTAGAATCCATAAGTTAGATTTGGACTAGGATGTTTTAGAAATTACGACTGCCAGGCTTAAGAATGTCCTGGACAAGTAGTATTTTTACCATGGGCCAAACCAGTCACCAAAGCAATGTGCTTACATACTCTAAATATCTAAAACCTCACACAGAATTTCATTTGTGCAAAAACACAGGGTATCAGTCAGCAGTTTCAGCAATTTAAAAAATAAAAATTTACATCTAAGATGTAAGAAAGAGTATGAAAATTGAAAGAACTCAGTCTTTAGAAGTCAGTATTTACAATTCAATTTACTTATCTGTCCTCCCAAAGACCTTCTTTGGAAAATTTATGTATTATTTCACAAAGCATGAAAGTATGACTAAGCAAGAGTTTTGCTGTTTTTTCATTCAACAGAATGTGGCTTATCTGACATTTGAGAGACATTTTTCCCCTTCAAAAAGTAAAATGAACCATCTCTTTCATTTTATTGAAGTAACAGTTACACTGTCTTGGTCTCAGATACAGTTTCTTACTTCAGCAACTGTATATTTCATACCACACCCACCACCAAATGACCAATCACCATCTGTTTCCTCCCTACTTCTTTCCCCTCTAGTAACCACCATTTTGTTGTAAAAATCTTAAGGGTTTTTAGTTTTTAGCTGTTCAATCACCTTTTAAAAATATTCTATTAATGGGTAGTTATCTCTCTCCTTCTGATTTATTTCTCTTAGATAATCCCCTCAAGGTCCATCCACGTTGTCACAACTGGAAAGGTTCATTTTTTTCCCTAAGTGCACTACATCTTAATCCACTCATCTGCTGCCAGGCACTTGGGCTGTTTCCAGGTCTTGGCTGTTACAAGTAGTGCTGCGATGGACAGAAAGGTGCATCTATCTTTTTGAAACAGTATTTTCATACTTTCAGATAATTACCAAGAAGTGAAATTGCTGAATCATGTGGTTCTATTTTGAACTTTGAGAAATCTCAAAATAAGTGGCTGCATGAACTTCTTCTCCCTCCAACCGTGCAGAAGGGTCCCATTTCCTCAATCCAAAATACAAACCAGTACTTCCTTCTGGACTTCTTAAGTCATTCTCACTAGCAGGAGGTGAAATCTCCATGGGGTTTTCATTCCATTTCTCTAATGGTAAGTGATGCAGAATATCTTTCCATGTGTCTGTTGGCCATCTACATGTCATCTTTAGTGAAATGCCTTCTTAGGTCCTCTGTCCATTTTCAGGTTGTATGCTTGTTGTTGGTTGTATGAGTTATTATGTGTTTTGGATTTTAACACCTGTCTGATAGACAGTTTGCAATTTCTATTGGGTCAGTGATCTGCCTTTTCATCTTAACATGGTTTCTTTTACATGCAGAAGCCTTTTAGTTTGATGTACTCCCCATTTGTTTATGTTTGCCTTTGTGTCTCTTGTTGTTGGAGATGAATGCACAAAGGATGTAAGACATCCTGAGGCTGATGTCATCAAGCTTATTGAACGTTTTTCTTCTACGTGTTTTATGCTTTCAGGTCCTACATAAAATGAACCTACTCTTGAATACCCACTGCACACAGATCTGAGAAAAATTTAGGAAACTGAATCACCTATAAAATACCAGAGTGACTAAAAGTATCCATATTCCAATTGCAAGGTAGACCGGAGCCAGTCAGGATATCCTTGTGATAAACATGTATAGTTCTGCTTGCTCACAGGAAAAAGCTTCCACAAACAAATGAATTCCCTGATTATAATTCTATAAATGGAATAACCATTTTTTTTGAGCAAAAGCAGTTAAAGGAAAACCAGTTAGACCTTACCAAAGTGCCTGTTTAAAAAAACAAAAGCACATAAGGCCCTTCATTGTAGCTTCAATTACCAAAAAAGTTTATATGACAGATGCCAGCTTCTTGCTCTAAAGAGCAGAGTCCCTAAAACATCCTTTACAAAATTTAAGTCAAAAAGTAATTGTCTTCTGATGTATGGGTGAGGGCACCATGGACAAGCAGAACTCAGTTGTAGATACTGATATTTCTTAAACTACATTACATAGCCCAATAGATGAATAATCCAGATGCCAAAGTGACTCAACAGTGGAACCATGCTTTGTTCTCAATTATATATTATGCCCTATACATATTACATTGTTTGCATGTTT